TGAAACAACAACTCCCCCAAACATGAACCAAACTGATGTCTCCTGCGTGCAACAGCATAAAGAGCTTTACAAATATGTGTCATGACGTGGTGGAATCAGGTGCACGTCAATTTTTGGGCATGTGGAATTATTTGTGTCAACTTAAAGCTTGTCCATTTGTCTATCTTTCAATTAAAAAAAACAAAAACAACCCATCTATCTATCTTTAATAGAAGTCAAGATACGTGCAAATGAATGAAGCGAGGACGTATGATTTCAGAGGTAAAATTAGGGGGAAAATGGCCGCCAAAGCTTGGTATCTTCCAATGCTTTAGAGTCCATTGAAGCAGAACATTTTCAATTTTTGAGCTTGTAATCAAGGTTTTTCAGTGAAAATCCTCACAGAAATGTTTTTTAAATGGACATGAAAGCTGTCGAGCTAAAACACAAAAGTTCGATAAAAATTGAGTAACTGGCAGAAAAATACTGATATCTTCAATTTCATTATTTCGACGAGAGCCTGATTTCACCACAATGCCTCACATAATGACGCAGGTTAACTAACAAAAGTGCTATGAATGAATGACCAGCAAAGGGATTCATTCTTGAGAAAACCAAACACTGCCGGTAATGATTTAACACGGGGATGACCGGGGACACACAAGGTAAAAAACTGGGAGTCTCTGTGGTCAAGAAAATGAGTAGCAATGCAAACTGACTATATAATTTATATTTAGACGCGTGCCACGACACAGTGGAATCAGGCGCTCATCAATTTTTGGGCATAAGGAGTTATTGGTATTATCTTATAGCTTGTTCATTTGTCTTGCTTTCTGTAAAATAAATACCCACCTATCTTGAACTGAAGTCGAAATATTTGCAATTAAAGGGGGTGGGGGTATTCTGGTTTTAAGTTAAAAATAAGCGGAAAAATGACCATCAAAGTTTGATGATTTCCATGGCTTGAGAGTCTTTGGAAACTGAAAATGTAAAATTCTTGTCTTTACTTAGCTTTTTCCAGTATGTTTATAAATGGACAAATAGGTGTCGAAACAACAAAAATTCAATTAAAATTGACTGACCAGTGGAAAATGCCAGTTTCTTCGATTTCATTATTTTGATGAGCGCCTGATTTCACCACAATGCCTCACATATACATATTGACTACTCAGTGTGAGGTTGTGGTACGCCACTTTTCAAAATGACGTATGATGGAGTCTTGCACTAAGCAGTCGAATATACATATAAATATATATATATATATATATTGTAATGGATGGGTGGTCACTACAGTTGCAATTCTTAAAATTTTCCTCTGCCTTTGATATTCTGCACAACGTATAAAATGTAAATATATACATGTATATAAATATACATACAACAGGAAAACCTTTGGGTAACAAGAGCACATTACCGTTCATTTTTTAAAAGTAGTCAACACATTTGTTTTGATTCCTCCCAAGAGCTAGGCTTTCTATAGATTAGAAGAAGCCCAGTATTGATATATTTCATTGGTTGTAATCACAACAGCACAGAGGGAGGGGGCAGCAGCACCGTGAGTATGTACATCATGTTTTCTGTACAGGAGTGAGACGATTTGGGGGGGGGGGGGGGGGGGAAAGGGGGAAACTAAGCCCAAAAAGAGGGTGGAAAATATCATGGGGACATGGGAGGGGGGGGGGGTTGAGACAAGAACGGGTGGTGGGGGTGTGGAGAAAAATAACAACCACAAATTCTCTCTCCCTCTCTCTGACTTTGACCACAGTAAGTGCACATAAGTGTACGAGATTGTGTACGTTTGCACATGTGCACGGGTCTAGGCCCGCACGGATATGCACTTGTCAGTATACGTAGAGTTATTAGTGTGAGTGTGCAAGTTTGAGTTTGTGTGTGTATGTACATGAGAAACTGCCAGCCAGTGTGCACAAGTCTGCGGGCTTGTGTGTGTGTGTGTTGGAGTGCATGTGTTCACCAACCTGTGTAAATTGCCAGTGGTCCAAAACACAAGGAATAGGGGGAACGTTTTCTTTCAGTAAGGGTTTTACGGCACTTGCAACACAAGTAGATCGTACTATTTACACCGAAGATTAGTGGTGTAACAAGAAACAAGAAAGTAGCAAACATACACAAAAAAAGGAGGACAGATAAGGACGATAGATATTAGATAGGAAAGGAGGAGCAAACCACACTAGAGCATCCATCAACCAAGCACGAGGTGAATGTGAAGGTTTCAATGTACTTAGTGTATTTATGCTGCATGGGGAGGCAGTGTGAAGGTTTCAATGTACTTAGTGTAATATATGCTGCATGGGGAGGCAGTGTGAAGGTTTCAATGTACTTAGTGTAATATATGCTGCATGGGGAGGCAGTAGTGTGAAGTTTGTTAGAGTAAAAGGAGTTCACTAACGCAATACTCATCACATTATGCTATGAAGAAAAACACATTTCTGCTAAAAAAAATGGGTAGGTGTCTTATTACACAATTTCCACCGTAACCAGTAATATACAGTCACGCCAGTTCTAATGATTATTTTAACCCTCCCTCCATATTAAAATTTTTTAAAAATACTGTAGTGACTCTGTCCAAAAGGAGAAGCCTTTCAGCTGTACAATGTATGAAAACTGATCAAATTATCTCCAAGTTTTCCTTTGTTTCTTTGAGTAAAGAGACACACATCGACACGACATTAGTCATTTTGTCCTGACAAAAAGTCATCATCACTGACAAAAAAACAATGACAATCTAGACTCATCTCGTAGACAGAAACAACCGAGGGAAAGTAAAGAAGTAGGACCTACCAGTGGCGCCCTCCAACCATCCACACAGACAGAAACAACAGAGGGAAAGTAAAGAAGTAGGACCTACCAGTGGCGCCCTCCAACCACCAGCTGATTACTCTAAGACAATCGTAAAACATCTGATTCGGCGAAAAGTGCAGATGAAAATCTGAAGTGCACCGCAGTGTGCTGTGGTTATAAAAAAAGCAACAGCCAAGGCAACAAGTTGTTACATGTCTTGCTAACGTTTCCACTGTTTTTCTTGTATTTT